TCATCATCATCATCATCATTTCCCCTCCCCTCCCTCCTCCTCCTCCTCCTCCCCCTCCTCCCCTGGCGACGTCGGAACCGAAACGTATTCCACAGGAGTCCGATTTCAAGTTTCCTTTTATAGAATAAGCCTGTTTATGACCACAAAGGCTCTCTTCCTTGAAACGAGAGACACGGGCCGACCGACAGGCAGGAAGGCAAGCAGGCAAGCAGGTAGATAGATGGAGGGATAGATCGATTGGATAGATAGGTAGATGGATATATAGATAGGTAGATAGGTAGACACAGACACACACTCGCAGCAAGAGAGAGAAGGAAAAAGGAAGAGAGAGAGAATGGGAGAAGAGCGGCAGGCAAATGAGAGAGAGGCAGAGAGCTAACGAGGCAGGCGCGAGGAGCGACTTCGTGGAAAGGCGAGGCGAGCGCCGGACCGAGCGCCGCCGTCTGCCTCCGCTCTCGCCGCCCGTCGCGCCCCGCCCCCCGCCCCTTGCAACACGGGCGGCCGCTTTGCAACATCCGCGGCGTGTCTCGCGGCTCCCCCCCCAGGCCGCCTCTTACGCAACGAGAGGCGGGCCTACGCGAATCGGGCGGGCCGCCCGCTCTAGTTCGGCGATCGCGGGGCCGAGCGAAGGGCGCGGACGCGGAGCGGACTCGGGCCTCTGTCTCGCTGGCCAAGGATGCACAGCTGCATCAGCAGCCCTGCGTCGGGCCACTTGTCACTCGCTCGCTCGCTCGACGCCCGGGGCCGCCGCCCCGGCCTGGAAGCGACGGCTGCGGATTCCGGGGCCTGTGAAGACGTCGGGGTTCGGGCGAGGGCGGCGTCGCGGGCAGGGCTGCTTGGTGTGGGCGTGGCGTGGGCGTTCCAGGGCGGCTTGGGTGTGGGACGGACGAGGGAGGGGGGCGGAGGGGGAAGGGGAAAGGCGGGCCCTTTGACGCAACCCTCCCTCTGGGCGCGTATCGGGGCAGCGATCAGGGAGCGGCGACTGGGGTCGGCGGGCAGCGGCAGCAGGCAGAAGAAGGGCGTCTGGAGGCGGAGGGGGAGGAATCCCCTGCCTCCGCCGAAGAGAGCCGCTCGAGTGCCGGCGGAGGCGGCCGAGGCGCGGGTCCGGGAGTGCCACGGCGACCCTCCTTCGTGGCTCGGGTCGCCGGCGTATCCGCGCCGCTTCCGCCGCCCCGTCTGCGGCGTCGGCGGGCGAGAGCGGCGCCCGCGGGCCTCGGCGCTCCTCGGGTCAGGGACGAGGAGCAGGTGACAGGCGGATGCGCATAATGAATGCAACAGCACAGAGGTGTGAATATCACTGTGGCAAATTTTGGCAGTCGACACCCCCCCCCCGCTCAAGGTTATGCGCGGTTGCCAAGTGGCCAATAATGGAGGCGTTGAGCTGCGTTTTGCGGGTTGCTTGTGCCCGTCGCCCCTGCTCCGGCGCGGGTCGGGCCCGACGCCGCCGCTCGCACCGCGCCCTGCGACACCGCCGTCGAGGCCCAAGTTGCGGCGTCACGGCTCTTCCGAGAAGCGCCTCGGAGCGCCTTCGCTCGAGGCCCGCAATGCACGCCGCCGCCGCTTGCAGGGAACCGGCTCCGGCGCTGCGGCTGCCACGGCGGCCTGCGAGGGGAGTCGTTCCGGCCGGCCGTCGGGGCGATGGCACCCGTGGCACCCTCGACCCTTTGCGAAGAGGGCTTTGAGGGCGCGCGGCGAGAGGGCGGCTCCCCTCTTCCCCGGCCTGTGTGTGGTTCTGTGTCCGCATGCATATGAGTTATTTAATTCCTCAGTCTGCACATCCCATTCAGCTTCGGGCCTGTCGACCTCCTCCTATTTCTCTCATAAAGCCCAGTCTGGACGCCCCCCGCCCGCCGCCCGCCGCTCGTCGCCCGCCCGTCCTTCTTCTCGCAAGGGCGGAGCCAAGAGTGCCAATCGGACCTTCGCTTGCGTGCGATTGGGAGAAATTCGAATCGCAAAAGGCATTTCGATTCCGGGTTTGCTTTCGTCTCTTTGGGTGGCTCGAAAGACAGACGACTGACTGACTGACTGACTGGAGACAGAGACAGAGAGAGGCGAGAGAGAGAGACCAGACCGAGGCGAGAGAGAGAGAGAGAGAGAGAGAGCCGAAGCGACCGAGGCGGAGAGAGAGGAGAGCCGGAGCGACCGCGAAGGAGGGAGTAGCACCCGGGGAAGGTAATCGTTGCCACACGCGTCAGCCAAGTGCCAGGCAGATGATCGAGTCAGTCATGCACGCAGTTAACCCCAGTGCAAAACCCCGCCCCGCTTCCCCTATCCCGTCCCCCCCTTCTTTCCGCCCCCTCCCCCTCCTCCCCTCCCCCTCTCCCTTTCCTTGTCCTTCGCCATTTTCCATCTCCTCTACTTTCTTCTCCTCTTACTCTTCATCTTCTCCTCCACCTTCTTTTTCTCCTCCCCCTCCCCCTCCTCTATCAACCCCCGCCTCCTCTGCAGCAGGTGGTCGAGAGGGAGGTGGCGGGGGGGGGGGCGTGTCGTGCGAAGATCCAAATTAATATCACTTCTGAGGGATCCACTAACAACCCGCTCCCTCCCCCTCCTCCCCCTCTTCCCGCCACTCCCACTCCCTCCCCTCCTCCTCCTCCTTTCCCTCCTCCTCCTCTCTCCTCAACTCCCTTTCCCATACCCTCCAATCCCCCCTGCTCCTCTCCCCTCTCCTCCTCTCCCTCGTTCCCTCCCCACCCCCTCCCCCTTCAACAGATGCCGCCGCTGCTTCGCCATCATTCCTGCTGCCGCTCCTGCTGCTGCTGCTGCGATTTGCGTCTGCTTGCTCGCTGCAGAATGTCAATCTGCTCGTGCTTGAGACAGCTCCGTTGTTTTGTTGCCACAGCCAAAGCTTTTGCAAGGTTGACTGCGATAATGGCGATAACACCAAGTATGATTTTGATTGATAAGTAAGTTGCATCGCAAGTATAATGATAGAACGTTATCGTATTTAGTTCTCCCCCCCCCCCTCCCAGCTCGGTCGCCACGAAGCCCCAGGTGCGAATTCCGTCGCTCGTGGGCCCGGGGTCCGTCCTGCCTCGGGCCCGCCGCACGCCCCCGGCAGTGCCCCCCCTCTCGCTGACCTCGTTTGGGGTCGTCCGGGCGTCCTTCTGGCTCGACCTCCGACCTCTGACCCGCTGACCCGTGTCCTGGCGGCCCCGGTGCTCTTGAGGCCCGGCCAGGTGGCTCGCGGAGTCATCCCTGCCGCGCTGTGTCATGCGGGAGGCGAGGCGAAGGCGGCGGCCGCTGCGTCGCGCTCGGCGGTGACGCAACGCTTTTGTTTACCGGCCTTCACCTGCGCTCGCTGCCCCCCCCCCACACCCCCTATTTACCTATTGCCCTCCCCATATCCCCCTACCCCAACACCTCCCCCCTTTCCCCTCCCCCTCCCTCCCCCCAATGCTTCCCCTTCCCTCCCCCTATATTCCCCCCTCCCCCTCCTTCCCTTCCCCTCCCCACTATTTTCCCTCCCTTCTCCTTTTCCTCCCTCCCTCCCCCCTCCCCCCTCCCCCTCCCCCGCCCCTGCCCCTTGTCTCCTGCCGACCAGGACGACGCCCCTGCGGCAGCACGCGAATCGAGCGATGGGCGGCGGCGAGTGTGGCGCGTCGGCTCAGGGTGACCCCGGCGCCCCCGCTACGTGCCGGGACCCCAACCAGACTGACCTAACCTGACCCTGACCCAACCAGCCCTATTCTGTCCTATCCAATCCAATCCTGGTGTGCACAATCCTATCCTCCCATCCCTATCCTAATCCCATCCACACAATCTTATATCATAACCTAATCTAATCCTCCCTTCCTCTCCCTCCCCTTCCCCTCCCCTTATTATTTCTTTTTATTATTGTTGTTATTATTTCTTGTTATTGTTTTTTTTATTATTATTGTTTTTCTTTTTATTATTGTTGTTATTATTTCTTGTTATTGTTTTTTTATTATTATTATTATTGTTATTATTTCTTTTTATTATTTTTATATTCTTTTTTATTATTGTTATTATTTCTTTTTATTGTTGTTGTTATTTCTTCTTGTTATTATTATTGTTATTATATCTTATTCTTATTATTGTTTTAATTGTTTATTATTATTGTTATCATCATCATTACCATCGCATGTTCTCGCCGATCAACATGGCGAGTGGGCGTGTCATGCGGGCGTGGAGGTGGGGCTGGGTAGCAACAGATGCGGTTCCTGCAGGTGCAAATGTCAGAGGGGTGTGGAGGAGGGGGGAGAGGAGGAGGGGGGGAGAGGGGGAAGAGGGAGAGGAGAGATGGGAGTGGAGGAGGGGAGAAGAGGGGAGGTGTGGAGATGGGAGGGGAAGAGGGGAGAGGAGGGGGGGAGGGGAGTGGAGGAGGGGTGAGGAGGGAGAGAGGGTGGAGATAGGGGAGGAGGGGAGGGGAAGAGGGAGGAGGAGGGGAGGGGAGAGGGAAGAGGAGGAGGGCTGGAAGAGGGGAGAGGAGGGGGAGACGGGAAAGGGGGAGGAGGCGAAGGGAGAGGATAAAAACGTGCTGGAAGCGAAGGGAGGAAGCGAGTCCGGGTCAATGGAATTCGGAAGACTTCGTTATCGCGAGGAATTCGTGAAGCGTATGACGTCACGAGGTGAAGGAGTGACGGAGCCGGTCTGTATAAGGTCAGCGGTGACGAGGAAACCGAAGGAACGGTCAAGGAGGACCGGCTCAGGTCACTACGGACGGAGAAGAGGGAGGGGGGGGGGGCGGATCGGGTCACAGAATCGTCGAAGGAAATGAAAATAAATCTTTAACCTGTACGTTCCTGCGCTGGAAATGAGTTTGCAAAGCCATTGTCTCAACAAGGTGGTGTTGCTACGGCTTATCATTGACCTCTTCTCTCTCTCTCTCTCTCTCTCTCTCTCTCTCTCTCTCTCTCTCTCTCTCTCTCTCACTCTCTCTCTCTCTCTCTCTCCCTCTCTCTCTCTCTCTCTCTCTCCTCTCTCTCTTCTCTCTCTCTCTCTCTCTCTCTCTCTCTCTCTCTCTCTCTCTCTTCTCTCTCATCTCTCTCTCTCTCTCCCTCCCTTCCTCCCTCTCCCTCCCTCCCTCCCCCCTCTCCCTCCCCTCCCCTCCCTCCCTCCCTCCCCTCCCTCCCTCCTCTCCTCCCTCCTCTCCCTCCCTCTCCATCACCCAGGCGGCACAGGCGAGCCAGAGGAGGAGCCTCGGCCTCAGGACTCCTTCCTTCCCCGGGTTTTCCATTTTTCAAAAGGAGGCGGACCTGACGAGCCTCACGAGTCCTCGAGCCAAGGTCCGCCGCGTATGGGCGCCTCGCTGCGTGGCCCTTTAGGCGGGTTTTTATTATTAGCTCGTTTGTTTGTTGTTTAGGAGGACATTTGTTTGTTTGTTTAGGAGGCATTTGTTTTGTTTGTTTGGGTGTTTGTTTGTTTGTTTAGGAGGTTGTTTGGATTTTTTTTAATTAGTTCGTTTGTTTTGTTTAGAGGCCATTTGTTTTTGGTTGTTTTTTTTTTATTAGTTCATTTGTTTGTTGTTTAATTATTATTAGTTCGTTTGTTTGTTTAGGAGGACATTTGTTTGTTTGTTTGGGTGTTTTTTCATACGTGTCCATGCAGGTCACAACGGCAGGAGCGCTCGGGTCAGCGTGTCAGGAAAACCGGAAATGCTCGTCTTCGGTCGGCCGGGGAGGGGAGGGGAAGGGGAGGGAAGGGGTTGGGGGGGAGGGGAAGGGGTAGTGGAGGTGGAGGGGGAAGGGGTGGTGGAGGGGGATGGGGGGGGCAGGGAGGGGGGGGAGGGGAGGGGAAGGGGGGGAGGGGGAAGGGGAGGGGGGGAGGGGGGAGGAGGGGAGGAGGGGAAGGGGTGTTTGGAGGGGGAGGGGGAGAGGGGAACGCCCGCGCCGAAACGGGGTTTGAGGAACGCGGGAAAATGGCGCGAAAACGGGAAAAAAACTGATCGCCATTCATTTTTATTTTCTCTTGGGTGAGGACCAGGGATGCGCTCGGCTCTCTGGTCTTCTTCTTCTTCTTCTTCTTCTTCTCTTCTTCTTCTTCTTCGGTTTCGTCTTACCACTCTCGTATTCCATTTCTCTCTTTTCTTCTTTTCTCGTTACTTTTGCTTCTCTAACGCGGAATTAGAGCCATTTTACGTATGAGAGAGAAGAGAGAGAGAGAGAGAGAGAGAGAGAGAGAGAGAGAGAGAGAGAGAGAGAGAGAGAGAGAGAGAGAGAGAGAGAGAGAGAGAGAGAGAGAGTAGTATATGACTGCGTGCGTGTGCGTACATACACCTGTGTCGGCAAGTGTTTGTCAAGGGCTAGATAAATGGCCGAGCGCCCCCCTGTGCAGGGAGGGGGGAGGGGGAGGGCGACGGAACGCAACCCGGGCGAGATCCGCTGCGCAAACCGGAATTATTGGCTTGGCGTTTGTGTTACTGTTATGTTTTTTTTTGGGGGGGGGGGGTAAGAGGGGGGGGTCGGTGGTGTATCGATCTTTGGGTATATTATTATTTTTTTTTGGCTCTCTCTCTCTCTCTCTCTCTCTCTCTCTCTCTCTCTCTCTCTCTCTCTCTCTCTCTCTCTCTCTCTCTCTCTCTCTCTCTCTCTCCTCTCTCTTTCTCTCTCTCTCTCTCTCTCCCTCTCCCTCTCCCTCTCTCTCCCTCTCCTTCCTCCTACCTCCCACTTTTCCTCCTCTCCTCCTCCCTTCTTCCTTTCACTCTCATTTTTCTCTCTCTCTCTCCTTCACTCCCCCCCCCCCCGTCCCACAGGCGCCTCCCTGTCCCCTTCGCCGCTCTTGACCT